GGTTGAAGTAATTAAATTTCTGGTAAAGTACTAAGCAATACCATTTGGTTGCAATGTTCAGCTCGGATTCGACCAATTCTAATTCCATATTCATAAATTTGTTTGTCAACTCACCACATTAAAACCCTTTTGAAGGTTTCCTCAGCTCTGCAATGGAAAAGTCTACCGTCTTCTTCTTCTTCCTCCTCGCACTCTGTTTCGGCCTTCGAGCTTTCTCGGCCATGGCGGATGACGACGCAGTTAAAGTGAAGGTGGGAGTTGTTCTTGATTCCAGTTCATTGATTGGGAAAATGGGGTTGAGTTTTATGGATATAGCTCTCTCGGATTTCTATGAATTTCATAAAAATTACAAGACCCGCTTGACTCTGTTTCCGAAAAACTCCATGGGAGACGACCTTGAAGCTACTGCTGCAGGTTTTAACTTAATTCCGTACCACGTTATGATTCATAGTTTTTCCCGAAGTTTTGGTTTTAATCTGTTTTTCTTAACTAAACAGCTTTAGAGTTAATAAAGAAGGAAGAAGTGGAAGCCATTGTTGGGCCACAGAGTTCATCTCAAGCAGCTTTCATGGCGGTTCTCGGGCAGAAATCTCACGTACCCATAATTTCATTCTCCGCCACAACGACAATGCAATCTCTGAGCTCTCGTCGGAATCCTTATTTTTTCCGAGCGACCCAAATCGATTCATTGCAAGTAAAACCCATCGCCTCCATTTTCAAAACGTTCAATTGGCGACAGGCGGTGCTAATTCACTCCGACGATCAATACGGCGAGGGGATTCTTCCCTCCATGAGAGACGCTCTTAGAGAAGTCAACACTCGGGTCGCCGACGAGACGGCGATTCCTCAATCGGCGTCTGATGACAGAATCGCCAAACAGCTCTACAGATTAATGACGATGCAAACGAGGGTTTTCGTTGTTCATATGTCGCCGGAGCTTGGTTCCCGAGTTTTCGCCATGGCTAAGGAGATTGGGATGATGGGTTCTGGTTATATTTGGATTATAACCGACGGGATGAGTAATTTCCTCTCTCAAATTGATGATTCCGCCATGGAAGCCATGAGTGGAGCTTTGGCTGTAAGAACTTACATTCCCAAAACAGAAAAACTCGAAGATTTTCAACGGCGATGGAGAAGAGGCTTCGAAAAGGAAATCTCTGAACTCAATATATTTGGGTTACGAGCTTACGATGCTACCTTCGCTCTCGCCAAGGCAGTGGAGAGGGTTGGAACCACAGAGTTCATCATCAAGAAGTCAAACGTTGTTTCGGGCAAATCTACAGATCTCGACAATCTCGGTGTCTCTCGGAATGGTCCAAGGTTGTCGGAGGCATTGTCTAAGACACATTTCAAAGGGATTGCAGGAGACTTCAGGATGGTTGAAGGGCAATTGAAATCATCAGCTTACGAGATTATAAACATCAATCATCAAAAGAACATTACAGCGGTTGGATTCTGGACGCCGGAAAATGGACTGACACAAACATTAAACTCCACGAAAATGAGCTCAAACACTGCAGCTGCTAATCTCAGCCGTATCGTATGGCCAGGGGATTCTTCCAGTTTCCCAAAAGGTTGGGTGTCCCCTATAAATGAAAAGAAGCTGAGAATTGGAATACCTGTTAAATCTGGGGTCAGTAAGTTCATTCGAGAGATAACGGACCCATTGAGTTCAAATACTAAGAAAACAGGGTACAGCATTGATATCTTCGAAGCTGTTGTCGAAACATTACCATACGCTCTTAATTATGAATACATTCGGTATGCAAATGATGTCGGAGTAATGGCCGGTAGCTATGATGACTTGATCAACCAAGTGCACCGTGGGGTTTGAACCTAAACTCTTCGATATTTTGTACTCAAAACGAATGTTCTTTTTCATTTGCTTTAACTGTGCATTGTTCTTGAACAGGAATACGACGCAGTCGTGGGAGACATATCGATTAGAGAAAACCGATCCTTGTATGTCGACTTCACATTGCCATACTCGGAAGCTAGCGTGTCGATGGTCGTACTATATCGAGATAACAACAAAAAAGCTTGGCTGTTCTTGAAGCCTTTAACATTGGAACTTTGGTTGACAAGTGGTTTCTTTTTTGTGTTCATTGGACTGGTTATCTGGACTCTTGAGCATCGAATCAACGAAGATTTTCGAGGTCCTCCTTCGCACGAAATCGGGACAAGCTTCTGGTTTGCTTTCTCAACCATGGTGTATGCTCAAAGTAATCTGTTCTGTCCTTGTAGCTTTGATATCTATCTCATTTTGGTTATGTTTTGGTTGATGGTTCCCTAAATGCCTTCTCTATATGCAACAGGGGAGAAGGTGGAGAGCAACTTGGCTAGATTTGTGGTAATAGTATGGCTGTTTGTGGTGCTCATATTAACTCAAAGCTACACCGCCAGTCTCACATCGCTACTCACGGTTCAAAAGCTTGAGCCAACGTTTAATGATATGAACCGATTGAAGGAGAAGAAGGTGAATGTTGGATACCCAAAAGGTTCTTTTGTTCATGAATTGCTCATAACTGAAGGTTTTGATCAATCCAAGCTTGTAATTTATAACAATATGGCACATTGTGGATCATTGTTCTTAAATGGAACCATAGCTGCTGCCTTTGACGAAGTCCCTTATCTCAAGGATCTTACTACAACATATTGCACCAACTGCACCATCGTTGGTCCCATGATGAAATCAAACGGCTTTGGCTATGTAAGTGTGAAACCGTCCTTTGTCTTTCATGTTGGTTCGAAGAGAGTGATAGTGTGAGATCCCACATGGGTCGGAGAGGGGAACGAAACATTCCTTATATAAGGGTGTGAAAAATTCTCCTTAGTAGACGCATTTTAAACCCTTAAGGGAAAGCTCAAAGAGAACAATATCTGCTAGTGGAAGGCTTTAGGTATTACAAATGGTATCAAAGTCACACACCAGTGTGCCAGCGAAGACGTTGGGTTCCCAAGGGGGGTGGATTGTGAAATCTCACATTGGTTAGAGAAGAGGAACGGAACATTCCTTGTAAGGGTGTAGAGACCTCTCCCTACTACAGGAAGACTCATGTGGGTGTTTCGTAAGAATAGTCGGTCATTTCAACCGTGAGGTTTATGAATGTAGGTCTTTCCCAAGGGGTCTCAACTCGGACGCGATGTTTCGAATGGAATACTTAATATAATGGAGAATGGAGTTCTGCAAGAGATTGAAAACAAATGGTTTAAAAGCAATATCAGCAGCCCTGACCCCAATAGCTTGATTTCCACCACAATTGGGCTTGAAAGCTTTTGGGGGTTGTTTCTTCTTTCAGGAGCTGTATCTTTATCTGCCGTCATTATAGCCCTGGCCAGATTTGTCCATGAACGCAGACATGACTTCAACCTTTCCACTGACTCAATGTGGAAAAGGATTCTTCTTCTCATGAAAAATTTCGACCAGAAAGACCACACTTCACCCGCGTTTAGAAGGAATTCTCAAGACGAAAACCAAAACCGAGATGAAAACCGAGACGAAAGCCGAGATGAAAGCCGGGAAGCTCATCCCAGCCCCTCCTGTGATTCAAACTACTGAAATGGAGGACTTCCACCTTGTAACTTTGATGATTTCCATGGTGGTCTGTGTGCAACTCCTCAACCATCACATAATTTGGTCAATAACAATTCACTTTGTTTCTTGAAATTAGTTGAAATATGTACAAGTTGTTTAAGTTGTTTAAGATACTCTTCGATTTATGAAAATATAAACATACGATTAATAATAATAAATAAGTTGCAGTATAAAGACATCGTCGTATCAATATTCATCACGACTCATTGTTCATCACATCATTTCACAGTTGGTGTGTGATAAAAACTTAATGTACATTTCATCAAAAGAATTCAATAAATCTTATCTTTTAAACGAGTAATTTACTCCCACGAACAATCAAACATCATGGAATTTTCCATTTGATTAATAATTAAATATATAAACTTTAGGTGACCATAGTCAAAGAAATTAAATGGGTCAATAATTCAAAGTCAAAGGGCACACAGCACCACACTTGGTCCACTTTGATTATCTAAATTCTATAAACTAAATTCACAGTATCAACCGCTCAAAAAATGTACACGAACGAAATCATGAATTTTAACATGTGTATATTAGAACATGAACTTTTATCTAATGAGGAGATTACGAAGAACGTGAGAGATTTTTACTACTAATACAAACGTAACACATAATAATATCCATAAATACGAGACCTAAAAACTCCATAAAATTTGAAAATAGAATTGATGTTGACTTTAGAGATGGACAATCAATGAAGATGAGAAGCGTGGACCGAGTGTGCGCCTATAATTCAACTCTTCCACATCAAAGTTTTAAACACATTGATTGATTTGCAACCCTATTCCCAAAAAGAAAACGATAGGAAAAATGGTCCATTCTCATATTAAATAATTAAATAATTACGTGTCTACTTAAAAACTTTACGAGACAATTATCCGTTTTATTATTTTTTATTTTTTGTTTTTAGCATATGTTAAGAGTTTGAAACGGCTTGCATGTACATTGACTAACTTTACGAGACAATTATCCGTTTTATTAAAAACTAAATACAGTGACCATTCTAGAATTGGTTATTGTGTGTTACCGCCACTTCTCACCTATCTTACACATTTGATCAAGGTTGTCATGGCAAAACTATAGTTAAGGTGCACGGAATCTTAGAACAATTCAATTTCACGAGTTTAAATACATGTCACATAAATTTATAAATTAAAATGTATTTATCAATCCAAATATAACGCAAGAACAAATGCAAACATCACATCCATTGCCACCTCATTTGGTAGTACTATTTATCCAAACTTGTCATTAATATCATTATTTTTGGACCATTTTAAATAAATTTAAACCTTATCCTTTTGTTTTCATTGCTTTGATGAGACCCTTAAATGTATTTTCACACAACTTAGTCCCTAATTAAGAGATTTCAAAGAGTAATTTTGCAATTTAAAATGTGAAGTGATTGTTGTGGAAATTATCTTCTTCTCCATCTCTTCATTCATAAAACATCAGACCACATCAAATTTAAATTGAAAAAATAATAATAAAAGACAAAAAAACACACAAGAACAAGACTTTGATTTTACCTGTGTAGAATTTGTTCAATGGTTGAGGTGGTCTTGTAATGTGTCTGTTCCACCTTGATTCTAATGTTCCATAATCAAACAAACAGAAGCTTTAATTCCATACAAAATGGCGGATTTTTCGTCTCTGTTTACTGGTAACTTGACCCTGGTGTGAAAATGGCAAGATCAGGCCATCCATTGCTGCCACCGCCGGTCCAACAACTAGAATCGCCGTTCTGCAACATACCCAAATAATTCTCCGGCACGCAGCCGCTCTGTTCCTCCGCTGCAGATTTCCGGCCAGACCCAGAAATCAAATTCTCTGAAAATCCCCCCAATTCCATCATTTTCATCTCCGGTTGATTCGGATCCATACCCTCCAAGAGATTCCCATATTGCCCATTTGACGCCAGCAGCGAGCTGAAGCTCCCCGGAATTTCCAACCCGCCGCCATAGCCACGGATGGGGTTATGATCCGGACCCGTAATCGGGTTCCGCATCGATCCCGAAGAAGACGAAGATGAGGACGAAGGCGGACGCTTGACGGTGGTCGACACCGCCGGTCGCTTGGCGTTTTTACGGCTTCCTCCGCCGACAGGGATGTTCCGCAGAGCGCCGCCTTTGGTCCAGTACCGACGGCAATTCTTACAAAAGTGACGAGGCTGAGAAAGATTATAGTTATTGTAATAACAAAATTTGGTGTTTGTAGAATCACATCGAGGGCATTTAAGCTGCTCTTGTTCGGGAAATTGAGGTTTAATCATCGGAAAAGTTGATGGGTCTTGCATTGTTTGGTTACCCAGAAACAAAAAAACAGAGCACAAAATCAAAATTTTCGCGAGAAAAAGAAAAAAGAACTTGGGTTCAGTTTCCGAGAAGAAGTTTCGGTGATCAAAGATGGGGAACTGAAAAAGGGTTCGGAGATTTTGTTGTAAGAAAAAACAGAGACTAAAACAGAGCAAAAAGAGGGGGGAAATCCGACAAAAGTGGTTTAAAAAGAGCTCCAAGCCGTAGCTTTCATGCTTCCAAAAAGCAAATGAATGGACAAGCCTGAAACTTTTCAGAAGAAAAGCACAAAAACCTCAACTGGGTTTGTATGTTTTGGTTTCTGTGAGATTTTGCAGTCGGAAAAAAGGAAGATCGCCGGTGACAGAAACTATGCCGGCGAGGAGGAAATACGTTGAGATATCCGCGTGAAAGAGACGAGCAGTCGACATATATAAAGAGACGATGGATTAAAGCCTTTTTTTTTTAATTAAAAAAATAAATTATTTTCTCTCTGTAAAGTGGAATGTGGAATCTGTTGGTTTCTCTCTCTAAGCTTGTTTGTTCTACACTCTCCACCATACTGCCATAATTGTTTATTAAAAAAATAACCCAAATATATATTTATTATTATTTGATATTTTAGAATAATAATTTCGAGGAACTTTAGGGAGAGACAATAAAATAAAATAAAATAAAAAAGGCTTAATTCTTTTATTCCAAAATCTTGATGAGATTTTCCATGAATGGAAGACTTTTGTCAAATACACAACCGACCTAACGCCACTTTTTTCACCTATTCCCACAGTAAACAAAAACGTTTTATTTTATTTTATATTAAATTTTGATTTTGAAAATTGTAAATGGTATTTTTTTATTATTATTATCTTGAACTTTAATTTTCAACAAATTCGACGTTTTTAAAATTAAATTTAAAAATTGAAAATGGTATGTCGAATACTTAAGCGGAGCTTATTGGTCACCCGTTCTTATTTAAGATGTTCTTTATTAATTTATTTAATTCTTAAATAGGAACAGGTGACCAACAAGCTCCGCTTAAGTGTTCGACATGCAATTTTTAATTTTTAAATTTAATTTTATAGGTTGAAAATTGAAAGTTGGAGATAACACCAAAAAAAAATAATATCATTTACCATTTCCAAAATTTAAATTTAATATAATTATTTACTTTATTATCTTAATATTTTAAAATTTTAAATCTTCTTTTTCATATTTTTTTATATAATATATATGGTTAAAGGGTTATTTGAGTACAAAATTTTAATGGATAATAAAAATGTAATTATTGTAGTTTATTTATTTTCTCAATAATCAAGACAATAGTCTAAAATTTAGATGGTTGGTAGGATGAACACTTTTTAAGGTTGACTTTTTTTTCTATTAGGAACAAAAAAAAATTAAGGGAAATTTTTTTGGTATAATAAAATTTAGGTTAATTTATTTTTTAAATTATTAATATTACATAAGAAGACGAAGAAAAGAGTTTAAAAAGAATTATTCAATAAAATCGTCACACTTTTTTTAAATGGTAAAATTTAAAGAAAAATGATAGAATTATTTTAATTTTGCATCCCATAATTATTAAAAGAGTAAATAAAAATTTTAAATGATTTATATTATGGCGGCTCATTTCTGCAGCTTGAAAAGATAGGCTGAGCCGCGGAGTCGAGAATCATTTGCGTGAAGAAAACGCAAGGGGAACCAGTAGAGGCATCATTTGAAAATCACTGTCAGAATCTGTACCGTCCAATATTTAGAGTGGGAGAATCTGGACCGTTGAAGTGTCAAGCAAAGTGAGATATGAGAACGGTGGCGTTAAGATACCGTCACCGGCGAATGAGAGTGGTACCACGTGTCGAAACCCCACATGATGACTGAGCTCGAGGGTCATTATTTTCCACTTCGACTGTTGGGCTGACAGCTCAGCTTTCCAACATGGATAATCACTTCACCACGTGGCAGTTCTCATTAAAGTTTTATTTGATAAAATATTTTGTACACTAAACATAAATTCAAACTTTTAAAATTAGGGTTTTTTATGGGAAAAAAAGGAACCAAATGGTAATACCAAACAATCTTAAATTATCCATTAATTTAAAAGTTAAATTTTAAATAAACAATATTCAATCTGCAAAATGAAATTAAGGTAATTTCTTAGGATGAAAAGAGAGAAGAAGGGTTTGTGGGGGTAGGGCCCACCATTTTATATTATTAACGTGGGAGTTATTAGGAAGTTGTAACGCAATAACCCCAAAATTAATCCAAGCCGTCAATCAAGGCACACCAGACACAGCCAATTGCCTTTGTCCTATTTTTGAAGGATTGTTGTGGCCCACCGCACTGAATCATATCTCATTATCATCACCATCGCCACGTGGACGATTACGATTTCTCTTCCACTAAATATAATAAACTGTAATTATTAGGATTTCTTATTTTTCCCTTAGAAATATAAAATTTTAAGAGAATTGATTATCAAACAAAAACAAATAATAAAAGCGAAATTGTAATATTACTATTTTTTAAAATTAAAGAATAAAATCGGTTTATGAAATAATTTGAGTGGTCACATTTTGATCTCCTTTTGGATTTTGGTGTTTGATTAAATAGTTGATAATGAAAATATTCCATAATCTATTTAATATTCTGTTTTTTAAAAAAAACAGATAATTTGATATTAATATTCCCGTTCGCCGACATCATGCCTATTTTTTTAAAAAAAAATTAGAGATCTATAAAACACGAAATTAAATGTTCAAAGACCTGTATGACAAAAAAAAAATCAAATACTAAATAGTAATCGAACATGTTTAAATCACTTATATAAAAAATGCGAGTGATAACCATACATAAAAATCAAATACTAAATAGTATTGTTTATTTTAATTATTTGATCTGTGCTGAAATCGATGAAATAGATAAATGAGGAGGAAAGGGGAGACGAAAGTGGGGAGGAAAAAAAGAGTGAGTGGGAAGCATGAGTGGAATTGAAGAGAAGGCAAAGGAAGGCCTGTGCCTGTGCCTGTGCCTGTGCCTGTTGTTGCCATTGCCTGTGCCTTCCATTTTCTTCCTCTCTCTCTCATTCCATTCTTTCTTCTTCTTCATTTGAATTTGATTTCTGTCGACGAATAAGGCTAGCTCGAGATCTCAGACTTAGATAAAACTCCACCACCGACCATTTTCCTTTTCGGGTTTGGTCATACTCATTGGACTCAAGCTATGCTCATGGGAAGGAAAGTTTATGGTACTCTCATAGTACTACTCTCTCTCTCTCTCTCTGTCTCTTCGTGTGTACTTAAATTTCTTGAATGTTTTGGACCCATCCAACATCGTTCTTAAACGATGTCATTGTAGTTAGATTTTTCTATGACCTACATACAAGGTTAGAAGTATGAATCCCACCCTCGATTGAGTTTGAACTCAATATAATGACCAAACTCAAACATAAACTTTTAAAGAAAATTTAGTTTGTTTCAAACCCACTAACATACAATATTGATATGCAAGTAAATAAAAGATTTATAAGATTTTGGTAATGGATGCCAACTTCAACCAAACAAAAGTGGCTGAAGATAAACACCAATGGCCGTTTCTAAGTCGAAGGAGAATAAAAGATTTGAGGACTGTTAAGCACCCCATTACTTCTCAATTGGTTAAAAATGTTTCTTTATTTATTCCACACTTTAAAATACAATCTTTTCCAATTGCTGGTAACCTGAAATGAAGTCCACATCGCTTCGCAATCCCTTCCCGATCTTTTCAAGAGGTAGTTTTAAAATGTTTATAAAAACTCGAAAATAACATTGAAACATTTTAAAGATGTAATGAAGAACTTTTTCACAGATTTGAAAGATGTAACGAACACTGCGAGACTAATTTTCGGGTGAAGATACTAAAACGTGCAATCAGCAAGTTTAGAAAAAGAAAATCTACAGAGCCTATAAGAGCAAAGGAAAGGAAAGAGGATGTTTCTGCATGCAAAAATATTCAGAGCTATGTAGGCTACATTCAATATAATTGTTCTTTACATAAAACTACAGTAATAAATTATGAAAAACATCCCAATGTACTTTCTGAGAGTGACAATGAATCAATTGAAAAAAATAATTTGATGTACTGGAAGATTTAACAGCTCCTTCCCGCCGATACTTTTAGAAGTCAACTAAAAATACTACATTTCTTAATCTAGAACCTAGTGGAAGAAGATATTGATCAACAATTTCAGTACTTTGCTGCAGGGAAGCTACAGTCAGGATTTCCCTCGGTTCAGCCCAACAAAATATAGAACACAACTAAATCTCTTCTCTTTTGGAGGAAAAGAAAGGATTACGGAGGAAATGATAAGAGACTTAAAGGGGTGAAAGAAAAGAAGAAAAGGAAACGTTGCCCACCTGCGGAACATAAACAACATGCTTTCTTGTGGAATTTTTGGCCACGCAGTATAGATATTGTAGGCATATCGAACTCAATGAATGTAGCTTCTGTGCTTTCGGATCAATGAGAAAGGAAAGAATTTTTACCGACAGAAGTCAAAAACGTTAAGCAGGTGGTGTAATTTGATACTCAGCCCCTCCTTATGCATAATACATGTACAAGCTGTTTGCGGCAGCACAGGCAATTGAATTTTCAACCGGATGCCATGCTAGATGCAGCAGCTTAGTAGTGAAATCAAAAGGATTTCCGTTTGCATCAACCCCTGGGCTCTCAGATCCTGCTGATAACAATGTTTCCCAACACGGAACATAAGAAATATGACAAAAGGGGAGGAATGAGCTTCTAGAATTGTAGGCCTCTGAATAATTTAGTTGATGAGAAAAAGAAAAAGGAAATCAAATTGTGGGGCACCAACCTCGTCTCACAACTCTCGTTAAACTACTACCAAGTGATCTTGAAGGTCTTGAAGGGGTCTGCACTTGTCTCCTACAAGCCAATACCAGTAATTATATAACTTACAATAAGCATATTACGAAAATCTCATAGAATTCAAAGTTTGTGAATAAGCCACTAGATTGAAATACCTAGTTGGGTTTTTGCTAGCTTCCAAAGTTGTTGCCTCGGTACTTCCGGGGGAAGAACCAAAAACTCGGAATAAATTGCTGGGATCGCATCAATAACATACAAATTCAAGGTAAGACTTTTTTGGCTGAAGAAAAAAAAAGAGTCTGAATGTGCTTTGGAATTATACAGACCTGTAGGAACCTGTAGTTATATGCAATCCATCACCACTCAGACAACACTCAAACTTGTCAAAGATCGAATCATTTTCGTATAAATCACAAAGCTGCATACATTATAAAAAATTGCATTTAATTAAGTCCAATAAGGTTGTATAAATTTTAGCTACAAGTTTAACCTGAACAAACTTACCTTGGGTCTTAAATATTCATGAACTTGGAAGGTAGTAACCGGACCAGAATCCATATTGATGTCCCATAACTGAAAAAGAGAGAAAGAACCG